CAACTTATTAAACTTAGTCATATTTGTAATCCAAGTTAATTATTTTTCTTATTTCTTTTAAATGCTTTAGCAACTATCACTGACTTTTTCTTATTTTTTATATTAATTTTTATTTTTATTTAAATTTATACCTTTTCTTAATATGTTTTTTAAATTATTTTTTACTTTATGTTTCAATTAATATCCCTCCTCTATGATTTTTTATTTTTCCTATTTAGCATTCTTTTAATTGATTTTTTTTTAAAAAAATTTATGCATTAATTTTTCAAAGATATTATTTTTATTCATCTATATTCTTTTATGTTTTATATAGATGAGGTTCATTTTCAAAAATAAAAAATATTTATTTTTAGATAATATTTTTAATATGTGAAACCTTACTTAATATTTTTTTCTTTTGTTTTATTCAATCAATTTTCTATGTTTATTTATTTTTATTATCATTTGATTGAATAAAAAAATTATTTTAATAAAAATATTGAGTAAATATAATCGGTTAAATTTTTCATATTATGGGATCAAATATCTTGATCTATATCTATTTCTTAGTTTTTCTAATTTTACTTTTAGTTATTTTTAATAATTTTTATTTATTTATTTACATAAGTTATCATTAATCTATTTGATTAAATATTTGTAGAATTATTTTAATTTACACTTTAAATCGTTTTGTGTAAGAAAACACATAAAAAAAACTTGCATATCTTTCTCTTTTAAAAAATAGATATACAACCCGTATTAGAGCAGTATCGAGCAGTGAATTATGATCACAACCACAATCGAGTCAAAAGGGTTTTTGGAATGGCCTATATTAAAATTAATCTAGAACGGGTTGAATTAAACATTGATACATTTTCAATTTTACAATCTCCATTTTCACAATATATAAATAGTTACAATTAATTTCCTTGAATTTCTAGTCCTTTCTTTAAAAAATAGCAAGCGAGGCCGTAACTGACACATTGGCTAGGGTAACATTTATTTTTAGAACCATGTAGACCTAAATTATTTGTAAATTAAAAACATTATAAAATCCAGTATGTTAATTCTCAAAAAATTCCGTTATCTTATAATTAGCTGCCATCACAATTTATGACTTTGTTTTAATATAAAAAATATTGAAAGATAGGATAAATTAACAATTTAATTATCAACTTTTATATGGGATTCTCATCACAATTGCAAAAAAAAAAAAAAAAACTAACTCCTAATACAAAAACACCACAACATTTTTTGCGTTTGTTCGGAGCTACGTTGGGTTCTAGATGAGCAGCCAGGCTGTGTTTAGGCTCACTTCACTAAACGGGTCATACTGAGTCAATTTCAATATGGGTGGAGTTGAAATCCAGATTATGAAAGGGACCATGACATAGAGCAAAATTAGATAAATAAAAAGAAAATCAACTATAATAAATAAAAAATAAATGTTGATACATAGTTTACAGATAAAGCACCTAAGCATAGAAGGGATAATAATAATAATAAAAAGAAATAAGGGGTAAAATAAAACTCTTGGATTGTTGTTCTAGTTATAAGATACACAATTTTTCTATCTATACGAGCAATTTAATTTCTTGTTATATCATTGGACTGGTGAAGGTTGGCCTGCTAGCTTATGATTGCTATGACAGCAGTATCACATCGTAATTCAGGTTGGCCATTTCATGGTTGTTAATGCATCAACATTCATGGCATTTCTCTACTTTTTTATGGACACAAAAGAGACAAGAATTTAAACTTTAATAATGACTGATTAATTAAATATTACAAGCCTAGTTTATCAAAGGGATTGATTAATCAATTGAATCCTTAAACTTTTTCTCTTTAACTTCTTACGTTTCAATATTGATTGATATATAGATAATATAGTTCAAACATTGATTATTAAATTTAACAGTTTTACTGATAAAAATTCAGCCTGTTAATATGTTTATTACTGATGGGTTCATGAATACAAACAGTTTATAGAAAAACTATTATCGGTAATTTATGGTTTATTAATAAGTCCGTCAGTAATAATTATATTAATGGTTTTATAGATAGACAAAGCGAGTAAAAAAAATTATCCACTTCATTTCGTCGGTGTTTCTATCGATAAATTTAACATATCACTGATAAAAAAATCATATATAATATCATTGATATTTTTATTTGTCCGTTGATATATACATCAATAAATATAATATATTACTAATAAAATACAATTTATAATTCTATGGGTGAGATAACAGTAGAAGTGATATTGACATAATACATTACATTTTCTTTTTCAATTCTCTCTTAAATACCGCGTCAGTATCTTATCAATGATATATATATATATATATATATATATATATGTTGATTAGAAGTAGAAAAATAATAAAAATAAATTAAAGTAATGTAAAAATCAAATATTTATAACAAATTTAAACATATATACATTCAAATACAATAAATAAAAAATAGAGACAATGCTGGAGGAGGAGGTTGGTCATCGCAGGGACTATGGGGCTAATTAGAGGGTGCACATGTACCACTCATTTATGATTTCATCTTCATTAGCAATCAACAGAGTTATTCATAATTAGCAATGAGTCGTTCATATTTTTCATTAAGATAGGCCATCCAAGCCTATACTCGTAGGTCTAACATTGCCATAAACTTTGAAGTTTAAGTGCTCAGAATCGATTGTGAGCATTCAACAGTCAAAACGCTATAGGTTGTTCGCAAATTCTCAGTTATAGTGTTAGAAAGTCCGTATACTCGATTTATATCTGATCTACCAGATGATCTTGCCTCCAACCACAAACCTTGATAGAGATCCAAATGGGTTAAAAGATCATTTTTGTATCTCTTTTTCAATCAACTGTTATATGTATCTTGGAAAGAAAAAAATATAAATTCATCAAATTCAAGGAAATAATAACTTAAAAAAATAGTTAAAAATTAATATACCACAAAGTGTTGACCTCAACTATCCATAAACTGCTGTACCTATTTTTGGTGGTTATCACTCTGCACATGCATTTCAACAAAAAGCTCCGTTAGGTATAAGTCATCTTCAAAAACCATAATCTAAAAAATAAAAATATTGTAAATTATATATATTTATAAAAAACAACTAATAAAAAAATTCTACCATTCGCTTCGCATGCAAAACAAATAAAATAGAGTCACTGGTGTGCATAGTAACAAAACCATGAACACATTGGTTATGATCTTTTGTACTAGATTATGACCATTACGTGAAACACACGGACATCACGCATTGAATGTATTCCACCTATACAACCTTTAAGATGTACGATGGTTTGAAATCCTTTTAAATTGCCATGTCGTTCCAGCCTGGGAGCTCCTTTTTTTCACATATTTTTAGCTTTTTTTTTTGGTCTCATATCAAAAATCATGTAACTTATAAGGTATAAATTAATTATCTGTTAGTAAATAAAAAATAAAATTTCAATATTTGGAATAAAAAAATAATCTTGAATTTGATATTACCTAATTATAATGTGATTCTTTAAAACTCTCATCGCAACATTATTATAAGCTCTCTCCATTTTAAATTTTTCTTTGAAGTAAAAAATTATGAAAGAATAATTTCAATAATTTCAATAAACTAACCAAATTAATATAAAAAATATTTAAGTTAATACTGATATTGAAAATTAAAAACTATACACCAACCTGTGATTTCTATTTAGGATGTTTGAAAATCTAATTCTATTTAAATAATGAAATTTCTATCGATGATTTAGAGAAAAATAAATTTACATTAAAAGGTTGTCATTCAACTAGGTCTCGTACTTGCTAGTAAATGGATCTCATTGTGAAGGGACCCCCTCCATGTTGCGGCATTGTACTCGATGAGTTTGCATCATAAGTCGATGCCGGTGCCTGTTCTTCATAAGCACTTATTGAATCATCGTTGTCAGCATCGCTGCTTGAAGAACTAATAGTGATCTTGTTCTAGCAACATGCAATAGACTTTTCTTTAAATATCTACATAAATTAATGAATAAAAAAATTAAATGATTTCTATTTCTTTTTAAATTTAGTAACACCTTTTCTATACAAGAAACTACCTAAACTTTTTAAACCTGCAAATACACAACATATATGCCACAAACCAGTGAATTTTATTCAATTTCTTCTAACAATTTAGCATAATTCAATATTTTTGTAGAAAATAGTGATAATATTTTGAATCCTAAATTTAAAAAATTCAAAATAATCATTAAAATAAATTCTACATATTTAATTGAAATTTAACAACAAAATTGAAAAGAAAAACAACTAAAATTCAATAAAATAATTTATTAAAGATTATCATTGTACACCAACAATAAAATTCCATTAGTGTTTTCATTTATAGTAAGTATATTTACTAATTTTCTGATACAGGTACTCCTGGGGAAATATATATATATATATGCATATAACGTTGTTGTGTAAGATGGTTTTAGCTGAAATGCCTTTCTAATAGTAGGAGGAACTAGGAAGGACCAAATGTTTGACTCGAAAGGGCAGTTAAATGATGGATGGCCCCAGGTCTCCACGTGCACTTCTCTTCTCAAGGTGGAAGCTCAAATGTTAGTTAATTAGGTCTGAAAAGTGATCAAAAACTGAAACCTAAATAAATACTAACAAATTAACGTATCCCAAACTACATTGCTTTATCAACTTCAGTTCTAATTACTTAATCCAACTTTATCCTATATATATATATAGCTAGGGTTTTGGTTAATACCGTATTAATTCCCATTAGGGTTAATTATATCAGGGTCAGCTTTCTGTTTAGGTGGTGAAATATTAATGAATTCACGAATCTTAATTAATTAACAAACAGCTGTTTTTTTTTTTTTTTAATTTACTAGATGCTATATATATGTATAGGTTAAGGGTATGTGTATATGTGGTTATAACTTAATTATCATAAATAGAAAATTAAAAAGAAATGCTAGGTGGGTTATAAGTAGACGTTGTAGGTTAGAAACTAGGGAAGATGTTGAAAGCAGAACGAAATTCATCCCACCAAGCAACCTCGCCCTCCCTCTCTCTTTCTCCTATTTTCTTTCTTTCTCACACACAAACACAAAGATATGCGCATAGGAGATTACTTATAAATGTTTGTTAGCCTAGATGTTGCATCAATCGCTGGTAGAGGTCTGTCCAAACCTTCCTACTCTCTAACGGATCGAAAATACTTCTCTTCTGATCATCCCTCCTTGTATTCTCTCTGGGATCCACCTCACCTTCATCTCTTCAATCATCTTATTTGCCCTATATTTAAGCAGTACTCTGGCTAGCTATATAGCCAATCCATCTGATCTTTCTACAGTTACATATATATGTTTTGCTAACTCTTCTTTGATTTAGCAAGAAGAAGGTGCAAGAATTAAAGGAAAGAGGAGCTCTTGTCCATGGATTGATCGAGGTAGTAGTTACTTTAGCTAGCTAGGGTTCATATATATCTTCCAGTTCTATATATATATAGAATCTTGTCTTCCTGGTTCTTGGGTTAGGGTTCTTTTGTTGCTGTATTTATTTAGAAGATCAAATATGTGTACTAGAGGACATTGGAGGCCTGCTGAGGATGAGAAACTTAAGGAATTGGTTGAAAAGTATGGTCCTCATAATTGGAACGCCATTGCCGAAAAGCTTCAAGGAAGATCAGGTGAAAAGTTAAACCAAACTAATAATTGTTAATTTCACTATTATTTTCAATTTAATGATTCTTTTTATACTGTTATGTAGAAATTAATTAAACAAGTAGCAGGGTTTGGTACTGTATGCAAAAGCTGAAATATGCTTATAACTAATGGAAATTGAAAGAAAAGCTAGCTATGACCACGACTAATAACTAACAAAAAGAAGTTCGAATAAATTGAATCAGGGAAGAGTTGTAGGTTGAGATGGTTCAATCAGCTGGATCCAAGAATCAATAGAAGCCCGTTTACAGAAGAGGAAGAAGAAAGACTTCTTGCTTCCCACAGGATTCATGGGAACAGATGGGCAATTATTGCAAGATTTTTCCCTGGTCGCACCGATAATGCAGTGAAGAATCATTGGCATGTCATCATGGCAAGAAGATATAGAGAGAGGTCTAGACTTCATGCAAAAAGGGCTGCTCAAACTTTGGTAAATGATAGCAAATTATCCTCAAAACAAGATCACATGCACATGGATTGTGAGACGAGGAACTTTTCTTCATTTTCCAAGAAATATTCTGAAAAATATGGCCAATATCCTATGGTTACTCACAGCTACTTACCGGCCTTTTGCAAAGAGTTCTACAATGAAGATCCAAGTCATTGTGAAGGTAAATAGATCGAGCTAGCTAGCATTATCATCATCATGATGTATTATACAGATAGCTAGGGTTCTAGTCTTTTAATATTGATATATAAATATCTATTATAAGTTCTTATGTTCCCTATATATGGTGCTAATTGCAGATCAAAGTCGGCCCATTGAGTTTTATGATTTTCTCCAAGTAAACACTGACTCCAATAAAAGTGAAGTGATAGACAATGCAAGAAGAGATGATGAGGAGGTAGATCAGCAGGAAGCCTTGGAAAATGATCAGAGCGAGGCTGATGTTCCATTCATTGATTTTTTCTCTGTTAATGGCAAATCCTCATCATAACACAGCTTGGTGGTGTGTCAAACGAGGGACCAACAAATGCATAGTAAGCATGCAACTAATTACTCAGTAGTCTTGTATACTACAACTGCATTGACCAAAAGAAATATTTAAGGAGAGAAAATCATGTATGTATAGCATGTAGGGAATTCTCCATGTATAGAGCAGAGAAACAAAGTTTTATGCAAGTTGCTAATGTAAGTAAAATGTCAAGAATCTACCTTTGAAGTTTGCCATTCTAGCATTGTAAAACCACATCAACATCTGTAGAGTGCAGTACATGCGTACCAACGCAGATTGCTTCCTTTACCATTGATGATTGAAAAGAACATGAGCTAAGATCAGCTGATAATAATATGATCTCCTATATATATATATGTTTGAAAAGAACACGAGTTAAGAGCTGATAATAATATGGTCTCCTATATATATATGTGTGTGTGTGTGTACATATTTATACATAGTATGCCACCAAAAAAGCTACTTATATGCATGCATATATATCCTCCTATTTGCTAAGAAATTCTTTTATTCCATGATTGCTTAATTAGTGCTTCATCGTCTATTAGCAAAGCGATTTTAATTAGTGTACTGCATGTGATTTTTTAAATTAGTTGCATTTGCATCTCAATGCTAAGTTGAGTTGTAATTAACTTGTAGGGAATCCTGGCATTTTTCTTCTTCTAGAAGTATATAAATGCATGTGTTTTCTGATCCCTGGATATTTAAGAAATTAGCCTGTGAAAAAATAATTAACGCTGTAATCTCGTTTGGAACATGCATGGAGTTTGCATGGCTTCAGTAAGCAGAACGTTCCTGACATGGAGCCAGTGACCCTAAAGGGAAATTATTGAAAAGAATATACAGATGAAGATCTTCATTTTTGCTGGGATATTAATATTGTTTGATCTCCAACCTGTAGCAGTTACGATCGACATATATCTAGCTTGACAGGATGGCTATTTTATACGACTTAAGGCATAGGAGAAGCTAAGAAGATAGGAGAGGTTTTTCCACTGTTTTGAAATAATCATGGATATAGTTTTGTTTTCACAACATTTAAGATCCCTGATGTTTTCATATCAGGCAGTAATCTATCTATATCTGTATATATATTCCTCAGAGATGGTAACTTATAAGCCTTCTGATTTCTCAGGATGATCTTATGAGAGTTTACCCATCTTCTTCATTTTCAACTCATTTGTAACTTTCACTGATGTTTGATGAATTCTTTGATGCTTCAACTCAGTTTTGTGTCCTGTGGGATGTTGAACTTCATCCTGACATGTACATTTCTGTGTCTTAATTTATATAAGAACTCAGTTAAAGTTCTTAAGTAGTTTAACATAATTTATTATTGCCAAAACTTCGTACCATGTTTTTGTCTTCAAGTGACCTCCTTTGCCTCTTGGAGCCCTGTAAATGCATCTTTGCTCTTGTTTTAATTAAAACCATGGCCATCTTCATCATCACAGAGGCGCCAACCAGTTTAAACCAACCACCTCTACTTAATAAAAAAATCTTGAAAATAATTAAATAAAATATATTAATCAATTTGTAAAATAAAAACTATTTTCATTTAACAAAATATCTCAAGACAAAATAAAGATTATCTAAAGCCTTACTTTTTAGATATACATAAAAAATAATAAAAATATATTTTAAAAAATCTCATTTATAATTTTATCCTAAATTCCATTAATCTTTAAGCTGAATCTGTATCGTCGTACCACCATCAATCCTCTTCTTCAATACTTTACATGCATATTGTTATTGTTATGCATATCCATATATTATTTTTAGATGTATCCATCATTAAATATTCATCATCTTTTTTTAAATTCTTAAATTTTTCTATATACACTACCACAATCCTTAAATTTACCAACAAAATTTTTCATTGGTATTTACACTACCATTCCATTGGTAAAAAATTTACTGGCAAAATCATTGATGAAAAATCTCTGTCGATGAGTCTTTTGTTAGTAATTTTTTGTCCGTCAGTAAATCCATTAGTAATAAAAAAATTATTACTAATAAATTTATTGACGGAAAAGCGAGCACAAAAAAAATTCATTATGTCGGTCATTCACTTGGAAACAAATCATATGTAATTTTATCAGTAATTATTTAATTTTTTTTAAAAAAATATATTTTACAAAATAATAAAATAATTAAATTAATATTAATCAACACTCTATAATATTCAAAATGCTTGGAAAAAAGAAGAAGAAAATTAACTCAAAAAAATTTACAACAAATAAATAACATGAAAAAATAAATTCAACTAAAAAAATCATATGAAAAAAATTTTAAAATCCTATAAATAAATCAACTAAAAATTGATCTCATATGAAAAAAAAAATCCTACAACAACATCCATACAATTATTAAGAACAAAAATAATTAAAAATAAAATAAAAAACAAATAGAGTGAAAAAAACATGAAAAAATAAGAAATCCTACAACAACATCCATACAATTATTAAGAACAAAAACAATTAAAAATAAAATAAAAAACAAATAGGGTGAAGAAAACATGAAAAAATAAGAATTTGTTTTACCTTAATGTAGTTGCAAGTGAAGCTAAGAAGAGAAAAGAAAATTCATCAAGTATACTAATTAAAAAAATAAGAAGAAAAAATAAGAAAGGAGAAGAAGACATATATGAGCATGGAGGAGAAAAAAAAGAGTTGAGGAGAGAAAAAGAAAAAAAATAAAATTCATCAAGTATACTAATTAAAAAAATAAGAAGAAAAAATAAGAAAGGAGAAGAAGACATATATGAGCATGGAGGAGAAAAAAAAGAGTTGAGGAGAGAAAAAGAAAAAAAATAAAAAGACACACCTAAGCATAGAGGAGAAGAGAAGGAGTTGAGGAGAGAAGAGAAAAAAAAGAAGAAGAAGAAAGGAGAAGGTTTGTTGTGAAACTAGAGATTTTAAACTTTTTATTGGAGCAAAGAGAAGGAGTTGAGGAGAGAAGAGAAAAAAAGGAAGAAGAAGAAAGGAGAAGGTTTGTTGTGAAATTAGAGATTTTAAACTTTTTATTGGAGCATTTTACCAACAGATAATTAAATATTAATATTTTTAATTATTCCATCAGTGATTCTATTTGTAATAGTTGAATTAAATTTTAAATTTAATAAAAAAAATTTAGAAACCGTCAAATATCAGTGATGACTTTTCATTCTGTCGATAATTCCATTTGTAATATTTAATTTTTATTTTTAATTATTCCATCAGTGATTCTATCTATAATAGTTAAATTAAATTTTGAATTTAATAAAAAAATTTAGAAACCGTCAAATATCACTAATGATTTTTCATTCTGTTAATAATTCCGTTTGTAATATTTAATTTTAATTTTTCAGAAAATCATCAAATAACACTGACGACTTTTCAATCAGTCGGTGCTTTTGTCTGTCAAAGACAATAATTAATAGTATAATTGAGATGTAAATAATTCTAGAGCTCTCTGTAAAATATCGACGAAATGTTCCGTCGATGATTCTTTTTGTAATTAACATGATGAATAGTACTAATGAAATTATTAATGGAATTACCTTGGTATTTATTGAGGGAATATTTTCATCAATAATTTATCAATAAAAATATTTTTTTAATATTTTTGTTTATATTTATCAATTTTATAATAATAATATTTATATATTGATTCAGGCAATTTAGAAATTAACCGATGGAAAAAATATATAGAGAGGTACATGCACATGTAAGAAACATGCATATCATTTCATATCAACACTCTGTTATCACACAGAATGATCTCATATTCGATTGATGAAAGGTTAACAACCTCCAATCACTCAAAAAATTGACTAAAAATCCCCTGTCCCGTCCAACATCAGCTGATGTTTATCTCCACTTGTTAATTTGCTAGTGAATTAATGCTTCAATTACCTCATTTGTTGCTGTTCTCGGCGTCCAGGTGCACCATTAAAATCACTCCGGTAAGAAATTTAGTCTGGACTTAATTTCAAGTCAGTTGAAAATATTTTTAACATCCAACTACTTAATTCGAATATGCCACTAGGAAAAATAATAATAAGACAAAACGTATATATGTAATTAAGAAATGAAACTAGCTTGGTATTCATTAAAAAAACATATTTATCTGCTGTCGGTAAATTATGTAAGTATTGCATTTACCAACACAATTATCAAAGGAATATTCGGTGGGTGAATTTTTTAAAAAAATTTATTTTTTCAAAAATAAAATCCTTTTGGAATTCCATTGATAATGAAAATAAGTAATAGAAAAATTAATAAATGTATTTTTTTTTTATTTCTTACAGATAATTAAACTCTATATTTGCAAGAAACTATTTTAAAACATTATTTACAAAAATCCATTTTTTGACTATATAAAAATTTGAAAGATTATATGCAAGCTTGTATATATCATCAATGATACACAAAATAAAAAAATAAATTGAAACTGATTCATAAATTCAAACGTACACTTTATTTTTTAGCATCATCAAACATAAGGTTAAACACACATTATTATATATAAAAAATCTTGTTGAAAAATAATCAAACATAATATATCTACACAGAAGCATTAATCATCATAATTATTATCTGCACAAGGTTATCAAAAAAATTGTATAAACTGAAAATAAGAAAAAAGAGAGAAGAAGTTGTTCATCTAATTAACATAATTATGGACATAAATTATAATATTCTCCGAAAAAATAATGATTTTAGAAATATTTTCGGAATTATAAGGATTTTCTTAATTATTTTTTTATAGAATAATTAAAAAAATAAAAATCAATCTTATATTTTCCATCAAATTGCTAAAAAAATAATTAAAAAAATAAACATGTATACAAGTGACGGAGATTTGGTAATGTAATATTGATGCCCATGGCATATTTGAATAATGAAAATTTTCTGGAAATCAAACGTTAAATAATTAAAAAAAAAAGATAATGCACTAACCTAAAAACGGAGCGCAGCTAGGCTACAAACATCAAGAGACAACAATTCGTGAGTGGTTGAAGTTGGCCATTGGAAGGCCCGATAACACGCCACTCTGCTTTAAAGGATACAAGAAAAAAAAGAAAAAAAAACGAAAAAAGAGAAATAACTGCATGGAACCCCCGTTTGTAATTTTATTCCAAACGAGAATTAGGTAAATTTTAAATTTTAAATTTTATTTATTTTTTATATATTCTTGAATTATTTTAATATATTGATAAAAAATAATTTTTAAAAAATAAAAAAATATTATTTTGATATATTTGTGAGAAAAAATACAAAAAAATATTATTTTGATACATT